AAAAAAAAAAAAAAAAAAAAAACTTTCTTGGAGGACTGATTGGAAAATGTGAGTATTGTTAATGATTTATAGGGCTATAAGTGTGCTTGTAAATTCCGAACAAACATTTTGTTAAGTTTCTATTCCTTCTTCACGAATGTCTCTGGCCTCTCTTTCAAATTTATGTGTTTTACACTTTTACTATTTCTCTAGATATCGTCACTAACAAAGGAGAAGAAAGTTGGTGCGAAATATTTACAGCGCATAAGGGAGCCTACTGTTACGGTGACTGAAAGCCATGAAGATGCTGAGGTAAAAAAAAGTATTTACACATTTGGAGAGTGATAGTAAGAATGTAACTTCTAGTAAAGAAAGTGACGAAGGCATAATAATGAGGTCTTCATCTGCAAGTGACTTCTCAATTCTAGAATGGAACTGTTTCACAAGACTTTGTTATGGTTTCATTTTGAAGGAATTCATTAATTCTTTTTTTTTTTTTTTTTTTTGTTGCGATCGTTATGTATAGCTTGGCAATGAACACAGCAATTCGTCAAGTACCGAGGATGAGCTCAACGCTGTACGAAATATAGATGCCAGGCAACTCAACTGTAAAGCCATCTTGATGCAACTTCTTTTTGTGGCAATTCCATTATTTACAGGTTTTTTCTTTAAAAAGTCGGGGGTTGAATCTTGATGTCAACTAGCGCCTTTGCTTGTGCTCGTTTTTTTCTATGAAAATCGGAGGGAAATCCTATGTTTTCTTCCATGATTAATAGACAAGAATCTGTTTTGCAACAGGAGTTTTTTATGCCTTTTGGTTTGGTGTGTCTGAAATGTTGTACTCTTTTTTTGTAGTTCAATAAATGCCCTCAGAAGCTTTTTCACTATAGAAAGTAGGGTGAGCTGAGTCGATACGGTTCGGAGATTGATAAATATTCGGAACTTTACCGAATTCGGAGATCACTAAAATTCGATGTCCGGAACCATACTAAAAAAATTGGTTCGGTTCGGAGATTTTTAATTTTAGGTTCGGTTCGGTTGGGTATTCGGGACAATCGGAACAATTCGGTTCGGATGTTCGGGGATTTCTAATTATTTTTTAAACAAAAATTGAATGAGCATCTAGTTATATTTTATTTTTTATATGTTTTTTAATTAAATTTAACATTCATCAATACTTCATCGTACTAAAGATTTTATTTTTAAATCTACTTTAGAAGTAACTCTAAATTTTAACTAAGACTAAATTTGTGCAACTAACATTTAAAATTTAAAAGTCAAACAATATATAATATAGTTTTTTATTAAAATATTATTTCTTTAACCTTCCATACCATGTTAGTTATATGATAGAATAAGACTAAGTATCAACCAATTTAAGTAAGTTTAAATATTTAAAAAATATTTTTTTAACCTTTAATTCCATTTTTAAATATTTTTTATATACAAAAAATTTATCAAATATTACTAAGCATGAAATTTAAGTGAAGTTTAATTATTATTAGTATATTTTATTTACATTTTAAAAAATCTCAAATTATATAGGATCAAAGTTAACATAAAATATAATAATAATACACATCTATTTTTATAACTCGGTTCTTCGATTCATTACGATATGGGACGATTTGATTCGGTTCTCGATACATGTATTTGTGGTATTTCCAGAATCGTATCAATTATTTTGCCGGTTCAATTCGATCGATTCAATTCGGTTTGGAAAAAGTCAAACGGTCAGTTATTTTTCGGTTCGAAGTAATTTCAGTTCAATTTTCAAAACGGTTCGAAATTCTTTGAGTTTCATGCTTATTCGTGTTAGAAAGTCCTCAAAAAGTTCTCTAAGTGTGCTCTCATTCTCGTAACATTTATTTTGCAGTCGGGCACTACAATGCCATCGATACAGAATTTCAATTAATCAACCAAAAAAAAAAAATGGATTACACTTCTTGCATAGTCGGACAGAGAGTATCCAGAAATAAGATAAGATCACCCATACTTCTCAAGTCCTTACACCTAGGGCTGCAAATTGAGCTCGAGCAATGCGATCGGGCATCATTTCAAGAGGCTCGTAAGCTCGACGAGCTTCTCGACTTTTTATTTGCATATATATACTTCCATATAGTTTAATTACCAATATTAAAACTCCTCCAAGGCCAAAATTGCTACTTAGATTAAAAATAGTACCTTTATATTTAAAATTTAGTAGTTAAAATTTCAAGCCGAACTCGAGCCATGTCGAGCATCGAGTCTATCTTGAGCATTCTTGTTTTTCTTCACGAGTCAAGTCAAGCTCGAACTCGAGCAGTCAAAAAAATTTCGATCTGAGCGACAAAGTCCACGCTCGACTCGATTCGACTCGTTTGCAAGCCTGTTTACACCTCATCTGCCCAAGATTCATCCATCCTCAAAACCTCTCCACAAACATCCATCTTCATCTCTCCAATCAACAAATTCAATCTCCCGTAAATCTCACGGCACTTAGGGTGCGCCTTATCTCCGGCAAGAAACATGTGCACTTCCGACTGCAGCTCGACCCAACTGCATCCGGGCTCCTTCTTCATCTTCCCATGCCTCATCACTCTCCTCATCTCCGAAACCCGGCCCCACATCCCTGCATCCGCATACACATTCAATAGAAGCACGCAAGCCGACGAGTCTTGTGGGTCAAGCTCGAGAAGGGCACTCGTCGCCTTCTCGGCTACCTCCACATTCCCGTGCATTCTACACGTGCTCAAAAGCGTCCTCCAAATCACATCATCGGCTTCCAAGGGCATTTCTTGAATCATCTTTAGTGCATCTGCCACACGGCTTGACCTCCCTAGAATATCCACCATCGACGAGTAGTGCTCGAGCTGAGGCTCCAACTTGTACTCGTTTTTCATAAGGGAGAAGTAACCGAGCGCCTCGTCTACAAGCCCTACGTGCCCACACGCTCGAAGGACCGCCACGAAAGTCGCGTGGTTCGGGACTATTCCCTCGAGCTTCATCCTCTCGAACGTGATCAAAGCTTCTCGACCGAGCCCGTGGTAGGCGTACGCGCAAGCCATGGCATTCCACGTCACAAAGTCGCGTTTGGACGATTTCTCGAAAACCATGACCGAGTCTAGCAAGTCTCCGCACTTGGAGTACATGTCGACCAGCGTGCTCGCGATGTACACGTCGGACTGCAATTCTTGCTTGATTATCTGAGCGTGTATCTGCCTCCCGAGCCCGACGTTCGCCACGTTGGAACACGTGTCGAGGATCGTGGCGTACGTGAAGCTGTCGGGCCTAAGGCCCGTTTCCAACATACTCGAGAAGAACTTCTGGGCCCGCTCGCTTTGTTCGGCCGACGAGAGGCCCGCGATTATCGCGTTCCAAGAAACTAAGGTTTGGTCCTCCATTTTCCAGTGAAGCTTCTCGGCCGCCTCGTCCACCATCCCGCACTTGCAGTACATATCGGCTAGCACGCTCCCAACGAACGAGTCCTTTCCCAACCCGGATTTAATTACCCGCCCGTGAACTTCCTTCCCATGACCCAAAGCTCGTTCTCCCGCACAAGCTTTTAATACGCTCCCGAACGTGAACTCATCCGGCTCCATCCTTAATCGAAGCATGGAAACAAATAACGACAAGGTCTCGTCGTTTTTGTTCTGTTCACAAGCTGCAATGACAGAATTCCACGACACGGCATCTCTTACTTCCATCTCGTCAAATATTTGACGAGCTTCGTGTAAAGATCCACATTTACCGTACACATCCAAAATGGCATTTGCAACGCAAATACTGTGTAAAAACGGAGTCTTGGCAGCTAAACTGTGCAATTGAGTTCCTTCTAAGCGTCCTCTGATTACTGCACAGGCACTGAATGCGCCCGACAGGCTTATTTCGTCAAAACCGAGACCGGACCTCAATAAACGTATAAACAACTCGAAACCTTCGAACCCACAATGACTTCTGGCATAACCTGTGATTAACGCGTTATGAGACTGCAAATTGTAATCCGGCAAAAAGTCGAAAACTTTCTGAGCATTAACTAAACTGTCGCATTTCGCGTACATGTCCAGCATGGCGGTCCCCACAATGGTGTCGGACCCAAAATCGCTCTTCAGTGCATGGCTCTGCAATTGACAGCCCAACGCTAAATCCGATAAACTAGCGCAAGACCTAAAAACACTTGCGTATATAGACTGGCTGACCCCAATTCCTTCCCTCTGCATCTCTTTAAACAGTTGCAAGCCGCGTATATGCTCGTCGTTTTGAATGCATCCCGCGATTATCGCGCTCCAGGAAACCCAATTTCTCACCGGCATCGTGTGAAAAAAGTGTAGGGACTCGTCCAAATTCTTGCATTTTGCGTACATATCCAAAATCGCACTACCCGTTACCACATCATCCTCGAATCCCGATTTTACCACAACACAGTGCACCTGATAACCCAAATAGCAGTTTTCTAAACACGAACAGGCTTTCAGAACAACGGCAAAAGTGGTCTCGTCATAAGCCAAACCTTCTTTCCCCATCTCCATGAATATCTCGACTGGCCTTAAACAATTCCCTGTATGCAAGTAACCAGAGATCAGAGAGTTCCACGAAATCACATCCCTCTCGGGCATCGATCCAAAAATCGATTGGGCCAAATCCATTTTCCCACTGACTGCATACCCAGAAATCAAAGAGTTCCACGAGACCACGTCCCGTTGGGGCATTTTATCAAACGCTTTACGAGCGGTGTCCAAACGGGAGCATCGTATGTACATCTTCAACAAACAGTTGGCGACGAAGACCGTGGGTTCGAAGCCCGATGCTATCATCCGGGCGTGGGCCTGCCGGCCCGGTTCGAGGGATCGCTCTCTGGAGCATTCTTGGAACAAATGGGAAAACGTCTTCTTATAAAATGGGTTCGGCTGATTTTTTGGTGTGACTGTGGAGAATAAGCGGATGAATATAGGTCTGATGAAACGTTTGGTTGAGGAATGAGAAGCCGTCGCCATTGCCGCCGGCTTTTGAATTCATGCTTGGCGGGTGATGTTTTCGCCGGCAACTGGACGTGAGCTTGAGCTGCAGCAATTATTTTGTGCAAGATTTAATACTAACAATTGGTTACATTAATTTTTCTTTTCATAATATAACTTGTTTCTATACTTTTATTTATCCATTATCCAAACTAGCTTGCCAACAAATCGAGGCTCGCTGAGTGTTTAAGTCAAAATTTAGTTTGAGTTCGAGCACTTTGAATTTGGAATCGAGTCGTACTCAAGCGTATATTATAAGTTTCAATGCTTAACGAGCTGCTCGAGTCTACAATAACTTACTTGAATACTCCTATAACGAGCTAAAATGGAGCCAAACTTGAGAAAACTTATTATTTGAATAAAAAAAAATTAGTGAAAAATAATGTCGGAATTTGGCAATTCTAGTTGATGAAATTATGAGTCGATCTTGAGCTAATCTGAAGCGTTTATATATTTTTGTCCGGTCGAGCTGAATCTTGAAAAGTCAAGATCGAGCTCAAGCAACTGTGGAAAAATCGAGCCTAGCTCGATAAGATTAATGCTCATTTCGATTCGGTTAATTTGCAACCATGTTCACAGTGTCGTGAAGACATAATTTTCTTGTTCTTTTTTTTTTTTTTTTTTTTTCAATTTAAAATTTATTAATATTTTTTTTTTGATTGTTTTTTATTGTTTTTTTTTTTTTTTTTTTTTTTTTTTTTTTTTTTTTTTTTTTTCCAATTAACAAGGTATAGAAATTTAAGTTTGCAATGTATTGGATTGGATGAATCCTTTTTTTTTTTTTGTCTATTTATTATTTTAAACTTTTGTACCTTTTAATTGAGATTTGATTGTTATGGTGGCATTCTTACTATTATAGGTGACCATCTGGCTGGGTTGGGCCCGTTGGCTAGCCGACCCTCCGTCGACCAAGTTTCTGGGCTTAAATCGAAACTCGGATCGTGTATTATATGGGCCGATTCCCATTCAAGTTTTGTAACAAAAATTGACCCAACTCGGATCCGGTTCGACTATCAGGTTGGGTCAATGGACCCTCCGATTTATTATTTTTTGCTAAAACAAAAAACATCTGGACACACTAAGTCAACCAGAAACCAGAACCAACGGGTTTTTGAAGGGAACTTCATATCCTCGAGCCCGATTTCACTTCATCACTTTAAAATAGAAGGAATGGGACATGACCAAATCAAATAACTGGAAAACAAGCCACGCAATTTGTTTCGTGCAAGTAATATTTCTCAAATATTATATATTAGATAACATCACCTTATAAATTTTTTGGCTCGTATTCTCTGCTCACAACTAATTATTGTTAAATTTTGTATATTAAAATAAGGGTATGAATTATGAGAAATGCTACGTTCCAGAACAATTTCGTCGGATTTATAATCGTTAAATTAATTATTTCTAACGATTACATTATGATCTAACGATTAATGAAATGATTTTGGGGAAGGAGTGTTTCTCATTAATTATTATCAATTACAATTAGAGAAGACTCCAAGCAGGAAAAAGATGAGAGAGAAAAACAAAGGGAAAAGAAAAGACATAAAAAGTTTCATCATCACAATAAATAGACATTAATTAAATTCTCATTAAAAAAGAAAACACCACTATTTTTTCCGCTGCGAATTTCTCCAATGGCGGAGGTCACCAATCTCCACCGCCAGCATCGGCCACCGTCGGCCGGAAGTCTCATTCCATCCACCGTAGCGCCGCCGCCCGAGGACGGTCCGCCACCGCAGGAAGAAGACTTCTACCATCAGATCAGCTCCTTCGCGTTCGAGTTCGATCCGTTCTCTCCTCCCAACGATCCTTCGAATCCCTCCTTCTTCGACGATTACGCGGAGCCGTTGGATCTAGGGTTCGACATGAACGCGGAGCTCGACAACCCAGGCTGCGAGTACGAGGATCCAAATTGCTTCTTCTTCGGAGGCGAAGAGGACGAGGAGCAGATGAATTTCGTCACCGATCTGTTCGAGCCTCGGCGCCATTCGCTCGCGGCGGAGGATCTGAATTGGGACATCGATGCGGGCCGGGCGGAGGAATCTGACGATGAGCTCGGGTTCGGGCCGTTTGTTGGTCTGGGTATGGGTCTCCGGGTCTCTGGCATTGATTCGGAGTCCGATACCGAGGTAAATCTAGGGCTTGTTGACAACGAAGAAGATGCTTATGATGCTTTTTCTGTTTTTAACAACAATTATGTTCCTGGTGAGAATGAGAGGGAGGAGTCTGAATGGGAGGAGGTGAGTGAACGAATTCACTTTGACGAGAGGGACAACTTGAATCTGGTAATCAGTGGAATCGAAGAAATATCCGTTGCCTCAGATATTTCTTCTTCGGATCGCGAGTATTCCAGTTTAGGCGATGTTGATGAAGGAACAGGGGAGCAGCGTAGGAACCTTGAATGGGAAGTTTTACTGCCGGTGAATAATTTGGAGGGCGCTCTTGAATTTGAGTACTCAGATATAGTCGCCAATGTCCGTAATGAAGTCCTATCGCGCGTAAATCTTCCAGAAGATTACATTTTCACCATGGAATACGATGCGGTTTTTGGGCAACTGGCGGAGAATGAGAGTGCTGTGAAGGGTAGTCCACCCGCTGCAAAGTCCTTTGTCGAGAATCTGCCTTCGGTTGTGTTGTCAAAGGAGGAGATTGGGGAGAATGAAAATAATGGCGTGACGTGTGCAGTTTGTAAGGATGAATTTGTGGCTGAGGAAAAGGGGACTAAGCTGCCTTGTTGCCATTTGTATCATGGGGACTGCATTGTACCGTGGCTCAAGATTAGGAACACGTGCCCGGTTTGTAGGTACGAGTTGCCCACAGATGATGCGGATTACGAGAGGAGGAGAAGGAGTGAGAGAGTTGGTGATGGAGATAGTGCTGGCTTGCTGATGATTTTGAGGTAAAAAAGCTTGAGCCTTTGACTTGAAATGGTGTTTTGGTTGAGGTTATGTTACTTTTAGACTAATGATCTTTTCTTTTTTCGGTTGGTTTGTATAAATGTGTTTTGGGTTTTCGTTGTTGAGAGATTGCGAGCTATCGTGTGAATATAGCATTACTAGTTACACGGTTCGTCAGTGAATATACTGGCGAACCCTTATGAAAATACTGCTGGTGTCGAGCTGGAGTTGGAAGCTTGATGTTTTGAGCCTTTTTGGTTTGTTTGGGTACTCTTGTTGTGATAATGTTGGTGTTCAGCTTATATGGAGATTCAGGGATAGAATTGATAAAATCCCCTTATAGAATTTGGTGCTTGAGAAGTATAGGGAAGTGAAGTAGGAGTAGTGTAAAAGACGATATGCAGATATCTGGTTAGTGGAAGATAATGGGTGAGTAGATCTATGATAATTTCTACTTGTGGGTAAACAAAATGAATAAGTTGAGTCCTGCTTTTTATTTGTATTGCAGACCTTGCGTTCGAATGTGTCCGATAGAGTATAGAATAGTTTAATCAAATCTGACGTTGTATCTTTTTGAACCGAATAGAAAGATTGTGAATCTTGTGATTTGTGAACATGTTAATTGTCATTTTTTGTGTGTCCTGTGTTCTTGCAGTATCAATAACGAAGTATCCTATTTTCATTTTGTTCCTTGATAAGCATTAATTCGCCGTGATTGTCGATTATGTGATGGGCATCCTCTTCTTGTATGTGTTTTAGCTCTCAATTCCTACTTGGTTATTTGAGCTGCAATGCAATGTTTGTTATGCCTGTTTTAGTTTTTTAGAATGCTTGGGCTTGATCTTTTTTTCGAATGGTTGCAAAAGCTAGCATTGAGATTTGACCCATTCACAAAATGTTCCTGCTAATAGTTGCATAAATGTGAGATGTTCCTGCTAATGACCTAATTTTATTTTTACAAAGATGTGTATATTTTCAATATGAGATGTTATACTTTAGCTAATAAAGTAAACAAAAGTATGCCACTTTTAAACTATAAAGGGGATGAGGACATACTAGTCACTGCAAATTTATATCTCCTCAGTAATCAAATTAACCAAATGTGTGGGTAGTGTGGTAATTTACTATTATAAACTGAACCAAATGTGTGGGAAGTGTAGTAAAATTAATAGTTGAAGTAATGGTTAACAAACACATACATAATGAACCAAATGAATGGGTAGTGTGGTAGTTTCCTATTATAGAGTAGAAGTAATGGTTAACAAACACATGTGCATGTGGTGATTTCCTATTCTAAAGCAAAATACATGATTAAGGCTATGTTTAGTTGACAAATAAGTTAGTTTTTATTTGGTTAGCTTATAAGTTTTCTTTAATTAAATAAGCTCCGTTTTGTAGGAGATCTTTTTTAAAAAGACCGAGCTTATCTCATAAGCTTGTTTAAGTAGCTTTTCAAATAAGTTCGTTGAAATTTTTATTTCAGCTAGCTTATCAGCTAATTTTACTAAAGGTATGTTTGGTAAACCAAATAAGCTAGCTTATAGCTTATTTGGTTAGCTTATAAGCTCCCTATTTAAAATAAGTCTTGTTTGGTAGGACGAGCTATTTTTAAAAAGCTCGAGTTTATTTCATAAGCTACTTTAGGTAGCTTTTCAAATAAGCTAGTTGAATTTTTTATTTCAATTAACTTATCAGCTAATTTACCAAACACCTTTTATCATCTAAGCTAGCTTTTTTGCTATAAGTCATAAGCTATAAGATATAAGCTCAAAAATTACATATAAGCTATAAGCTAGCTTATCAGCTATCAGATAGTTTTACCAAACATAGTCTAAACACTTTTATCATATAAGCTAATTTTTCAACTATATGTCATAAGCTATAAGCTATAAGCTTTAAAATTATTAATAAGCTAAGCTCTAAAATTACTGATAAGCTATAAGTTAGCTGATAAGCTAGCTTATAAGAAACATAACCTATTTTGCTTATATTAATATATAGTTTAGTTTCATTTTTAAAGAAAAGGGTCCCGTCATTATGCCCTTAGCACTTATTCAAAACCATTTTTGGTGCCAT